CGTCAGCTAGTACACTACTCAATTCTAGAGATATTGAACAGAACCTTAGCGTTTCCACCATTACAAGATAAATACAGATTAAACAAAAGGAAACAAAATCAATGGAGGGAAAAAAAAACAGATAGCTTCAACAAGATCTATTCCAATCAAGGCCACAAGATTGCTTTCCACAACAAGTAAAGCACATTTCTAAAACAAAAAAACGACTGCAACCAGCTTCACAAACCAAAAAGGAATGCACATTGCTTTCTTGCTTGCTCTGGAATCAACTTCCCCAGAATATCCGACGGCACTCCCTTAAGTTCTAAACAACAGTAGCAGCAACAATTAAAATCAGAATTGTAATTCCACAAATGTCAGAAAATAGCAGCAGATAGAATTCACCAAAAATAACTCAATAGTACCATGAGGCTTAAAGTTGAAAAGCGGAGGAAGAAAACGTCCATTTGGCAGACGGGTGTTAGGGTCACGTAGTTCATCAAAAAAAGGATGGATCAAAGCCTCCAGCTGCATTAAAAATAAGACACCCTTAAAAACAAAGTTGATTTACCAGCAATGGGTATACATAAAATACAAGCTTCCAGTGTTATCCATGTGATCAACTGACATTCCTAGTAAGCAAATACAAAAAACTACAACAGCTTCTTAGGATGACAGGTACTGAATATGCTGAGTGAATGTACTTATTAAAGAGAAAAACACACAAGCAAATGAATGGACATTCTTAGGATAAACACATAACAAAACTACAACAGCTTACAAATGTCTCTGAAGAAGGCAAAATATGCATATGAAAGGCAATATTTTTTAAATACTCACTGCCGTGGTACGAAGATTTGGAGAGTACTGCAGTAGTCTTGATACAAGATCCACAGCTTCTGCTGGCATACGTTTGTGGAATATCTGAGAATTAATAGTGTCAATACATGTTATACTGGCCGACTTGGTAGAAGAGAAGGCATGCATAATTAAACACCCAGTACCTTGTGCCATGGATGAGCTTTAATCTGTGGAAATTTGAACTCTGTGTAGTGGGGATTCATGCACTTTATTTCCTCCCTTGTAGGGGTACCCAAAACCTGCAATGAAACAAGCATCTCCAAACTCAGAACTCTCTAGGCATAAGCCAGAGATGTACAAACAAAGATTCAATCAAGAGGGAATTTCCTAATCACGAATAAGTGGTACGGTCCCAATGAAAGTGTCACTTAGCCAATTATAGGCTTTGGAAAAAAAGAAGAAATTAACTATCACTGTCATAACTCCAAGAGTGAATGGCCATAACTGCTCGGGATGTTCTTTGTCGAGTTGACTGGCTTTAGTTCAGAAAGCTGAAACAGGATCGTAAACCGCCACCCTTCCAGGGATGGGGATTCAGACCGATGAGGGACGTAAGAATTGCCCTTAACTGCCCAGGCTGAAATATCCTTCTCGGTAGCCTCTAGGGGGGTGGGGGTATTCAATCCTATGATACTCAAGGAGCAAGGCGTCACATTCTAGGGGTTTGACTAATACATCGTAAAGCGGGTCCAAGTTTTGGGTTATACAATAAATGGAAAGTAACCACTACCTCCCTATTAGCTAAAGTGATTTTCTGCATGTGTCAACATCAATCCCACATGAATGATTCTAACAAATGAATTATGGCAGTGATAACAATAAAAAAAATAATCATAGACAATGATAAAGTAGTTTTAGAAGGGTCAGAAGGCCACATATAACTGCATGAAATATTCACCACAGGAACCATAAAGCAATTGCTGCAGTACTCAAGAAATTATTATCACCTTTATGATTTCCACAAGCTGATCCACCCCACTCTCGCCAGGAAAAAGGGGCTGAAAGTACCAGAGTGCTATCTTTTAGCATGTATAAGCAAATTAACGCAATGTAGGAACTAAAAAATGCAAAGTTACAGAGTGAACCTACCTGGCCAAGCAGTAATTCAGCAAAAACACACCCAGCAGACCAGATGTCTATAGCAGTGGTGTACTCGGTCGCTCCAAATATAAGTTCAGGTGCTCGGTAGTACCTAGAACAGATGTAAGAAATGTTTGGCTCTCCTTTTACCTGTCAAAAATAAGAAAAATGTGAAATTAGATGATATCTTCAGAGAAAAAAAAAGGAGTAAAAAAATGTATACTTTCATCACATTAAGAAAGGCACGAACCAAAACTTTCGCACTTCCGAAGTCGCATAATTTCACCTGATGAGTATGTGGATTGACCTGCAAAAGGAAAACCATTAAGATTTGGTAATTAGCAAGTTTAAAAAACCATAAATTAGAAGACAAGGGTAAATTAATCAAATGTTAAGGCAATATCCTCGGTAATTGGGTGAAAAGTACGAATTACATTTATACCATGATTAACTAGATATCTATTTGAATTAAATGACAGTTTCAAGTTCCCTATTAGGTAAACCATCATTCATTCCAAGCCATATATTTCTCGATACTCCGACAGAGAAACCGAAAGTGCAGAGATAACTATGGCCAAGAATCCATCCCACACATCTATAACATGAGCCAAACCAGCATAAAAAATACACCTGTACCCATAGACATCTACGGATTTAAGATATCACTCATCCCTATCCATCCAACAATGATGTGTCATTAATTAAAAACAGATTCCTTTGAACCACATTGCAAAAAGGCCACAACTTTCAAAAGAAAAGCACCACAGTCGTCATTATACTGAACATCCAAAAAGCAAGACATGTTCACATTGCATGGACACTGACAAGTGAGTTATCACCATCTTCGGACACTCGCAAAGTTGGAATACCGTCCAGATCCAGTTTGATAGACTAGGAGTTATTAAATTAATGACAACACATTATTTAATAGGAGTAAAGGCCAATACAGATGATTCTTGCTAACTTAAAAGATAGATTTGAAATATGATAAAATGCACTATGTATAACCTTAAACAATGTAAACCCAATATAGAATCACACAAGTAATATATATCAATAGAAACTTTCAAATGCACATTAATAGAAACAAATGAATAAGCAAATATGCAAGCATACCAATAGGTTTTGAGGCTTAATGTCCCTGTGGCATACTCCAATACCACCATGAATGTAAGCCAGCGCTCTAAAAATCTGTAGGAAAAATACAAAGTGAGAAAATGTGTGGCCTAGTACACGCGACTCCAGCCATTGCGGAGTCTGGTGAGTTCAGATGTATACAGCCTCACCCCGCATGTGGAGAGGCCGTTTACACACAGTAAAAAAATGAAGGTATATTATTTTAAAAGCAATACACAATCTGAAAATACACCCAGTTGTAACTATGACACATGCCTGGTAAGTATAAAGTTTAATATATATCATGGGCATCCTTTGATTCATCTTGTTGTAGTGTTTGATCACCCGATGAACAGTCTCGGGGACATACTCCAATACCAAGTTAAGGTAGAGCTCATCCTTTTCAGTTGTTGAAAAAAAACAGTGCTTTAGAGAGACAACATTTGGGTGGTCTAGAAGACGTATAGTTTGCAGCTCCCGGTTCTTGTACCTCTTGTCTTGAAGAACTTTTTTAATTGCAACAGCTTCACCAGTCTCTAAACACTTTGCCTGAACAACCATGTCAAAGCACCACCCAAACTTAAGTAAGATCCAAATCATAACCCATGTGATTGTGTTACCATATAATCAATCAACCTATGATGTTGTTGTACTATCATCCACTACAAAAATGCAAAATGGCACCAAGTTAATAAGCAGCCAACTAACCTGGAACACCACTCCAAATGACCCTTGCCCAACTACCCGCTCAGCCATATAGCTAATTGTCTAAGATCACCAAAGCAAATAATTGTGTGACTATTAAGATATTTATCAAACCCAGTCGTAAGAAAGGAAAATTAGCACGTCAGAAGTTACCTGCTTTGGCTCTCCATTTCTACCACCAATGGTTGTCACAATTATATGACCTGCCTCTGTCCCATTACCATGAATGACCATCGCTTCCATTTCCTATAAAAAAAAAAAAATAGCAGTAAAAACACGTAAATGACAGCAGATAACAAACAGATTTTTGGAGGCATTATGCAAAGTGCAGGTAATCTACCTTGTCATCCCTTATTTTCATGTCACTCATCTCGTCAGGCAAACTATCCACACCAGCCATACTTCCACTAGGTTCTCTTAAACTGGATGCAGGAACTACTCTTAATGAAGCCACTGGTTCAGAGTAAAAAATTAGAAAGGCCCCCTTCCAGGTTTATCGCACCAAGAGCAAGAAAAGTCAATAATTTACGTGCTGAAAGCATATGTTAGTTCATTGGACAATAGATGTACTAAATAATCAAAGCAAATTGAAAAAAAAATAAAAAACGAGATCATAGGGAGGGAGACATGATCCTCAGTAATAATGGTTGCACCGGAGAACAATGTAAGAACACATTGTGGAAACTAGGATCACTATTTCAATTCTGAAAAATTTTAATATGCCTCCGTAACCCTTCATCACCTCAAAAGCATACTGCGATCAGAAGAATAATTCTAAACTCCCAAAGCTAACAACATTCCCATATGATACACATGAGATTTTGAGGGAGTTTTTTGGGGCCAGTAACATCGTCCGTTCAGATAGTGACATAACTAATGCGGAGTTTCAGCTCCATCTGTTTGCAGAGAGAATCTTTCCGAAAATAGATTTCAGAAAAAATCCCGCTCGAAAGTAACGATAATGAATAGCAAAGAAATCTGAACGACTAATTAGTGCAAATATTTTTCTTTTCAATTCTTTGCCACCTCTACATTCCTTTTTTTTTTTTGCCCAATTTCCTCTACATTCTACAATAGCTAAGAAGAAGACTTCACAGAAAAGATCAAATAATTTGACAATAATAAACATTTTTTGTTGCGGCTTTGGGAGATTTGGGTATTTACAGAAAAGCTCAAAGAAAAGCTAAAGAAGAAGACGACACTGAAATTCCTAGAGAGAAGTCCATACTCATTATTCAAAGATATACATATATACAGATTATATGAACATTTTCTCAGACAGGAAAAAAGAAAATATAAGCAAATTCCAAACAGATATAACCATTACTTCCAAAAAAGAAAACCGAAAAAAAAAAAACAAACAAGGGAAAATGATCGGACATTCATAGAGAAATACCTAGGAAAACTAGAATCCATCCAGTATCAGAATACGAAAAAAAGTAACTGAAACCGTACCACAAACATACAAAGAGAAGCAAAAGAAATCAAAGACAGACAGAAGTACCGATCAGGCTAATTAGTTATGAAGATGAACGGCTCCGAAGGTAAAAGTTAACAGAGATAACTATGCTGTTCCTGTGAACGACGCATGATCAAATCTAAGAAACAGATCCGGTGGTGTCTCAATGGATCAATTCTAGAGAGAGAGAATGGGTGGGTTAGAGTTCGGAGAATGTTTATTTGTTGCTTTGCTTTCTTTGGCGGTGGCGGTGGCGGTGGCGGTGTTGGTGATTATGTTGGCTGACAGTCAACCGAAACATTTGACTAGCTTTGTATCTATCTATCTCTTTATTTATTAGCTCTTCTTTTTGACCATTCAACATCCTCCCTACTTTCCAATTTTCTATTCTATTTACCAACGCATTTTTAAACCCTGCTCCTGCTGATTCAATAAACGGAAAAGACTATTTTGCCTTCACTATTCTTTCTTTTTAACGACAATTACAATTACAATTACAATTACACCCACTTTTGGTTTTGTGTTTAATGAAATGAAATTGCAAATAGCGTCTTTCTTCTCTCTTAAATTCACTTTGCATCTCTAATCTTTGCATTTTTCCTATAAGTATAACGCTCCTTTAAACAACCGTTAATTCAACTTCAACATATTTATGTATCCATATCAACTTCAATTTTTGTAGATACCTAAATCTCTAATTAACTAACTAATTAATTTTATAAAAACAAAAATAAATTGACTACTTTGTTAACATTTACTCAATTCAAATTAATTTACTCAATCGAATTACCAACACAATTTGTCACCATCACCATCAATTTATCAAATCATCATCACCAAATTCACCACAAAACACATAATCATGCCAACCTACTATTGCAACTTCATTTTCCTCTCTCATCTCGTGTCCACAATCATACTCAAATTCAAAAAAATGCCTGTGTGTATTTTTTGTTTGAAAATTTATGAATTTGTTTCTTGTCTTTTGGAGAGTGTTCTCGTGTGCTTTGTGTTAGTGATTGTTAATGCTTTTTGTGTGAATTTATGAATATGCAAAAATGGATTTATGTGGTGGTGGCGGTGGCAATGGCGACGGTAGTGATGGTGATGGTAGTGATGACGGCGGCGATGATGGTGGTGGCGACGACGATGGCAACGATGACAGCGGTGGTGGTGGTGGTGGTGATGATAGTGACGACAGCGATGGTAGGATTGGTGGTGACAGCGACAATGGGAGCGTTGGCGATGACGATGATGGCAAAGACGGTTGTGGCGATGGTGGTGCTGGTGACGTTGGTGACAGCAGCGATGGTAATGGTGGTAGCGACGACGGTGACGGTGGCGGTGGTGGTTGTGGTAGAGGTTATAGTGGGTCAATTTCAAACACTATTTTTTTTTAAGTATTTATGAGAAATAATTTATATAAATACTTTTAAAAAACAATTTCAAACACATCCTTAGGACGCTATTTTTCTATTAAATTTAGAGTGTTAATATTAATTGTTAGATTAACTTTAAAGTAAAATTTAAAACAATCTGCACCAAAAAAAATAAAAATTATTTTATTTATCTTTTAAAATTTAAATTACAAGTTACTTTATTATATAAATGTGTATTAGAGAGACTGACTACCAGAAGGAAGATGTTGAATATGAGTGTGGTTAAAATAAGTATTATTTGGGATTGTTTTTACTTAGAGAGGTTGTGTTGATGCGAGACAATGATAATAGCACACAAGGCTGAACTTGAAAAAAAATAAACATTAACTCGAGTATAGACATTACATTAAATCCAAAAGGATGTTATTGTAATTTTAATTTCTGTTGAATAGGATCATACTGATACCATCGTAGCCGTTTTTACGCAGCCTAGCTAGAACCAAATCCTTGGGGTTTGGTATTGGTAGTATTTGGTTTAGGAGAGTGTCATGTCACCATTGAATGCACCGCTCATTAATACCGAACCGACCATGGACTTAGTAGGCCTTCGATTCTAGATTACGAATTTTCAGCTTTTGACCAACTTGTTTTAATTGTGACTGAATAAATAATGGGAGATGGAGATTTTTATATAGACTTGAAGTTTGTTTTAGACTAAACCAATTTTTACCGTTAGAGCGTGCATAAATGTCACTTTGGCCCCACCCACCATTATTAACCTTATCATATCATATGCACAAAGTTTCTCATTTAAAGGGTCCAATCCATGATGTGGTCGTGGTCTGAATTGAGGAGCTTGTGACTTTTATCTTTGATAACTTTAAATATGACAATCAATTAATGTTAGGGGTGCAATGAGCGGTGCTGTATAGTCTAAAAATATTACTCATTTTTTTTTATAGGTAAAATCACTCTGTAACTTACACTTAAAAATATAAGCGATAGAGGACCTTATACACACACACACACTATCCGATGTGAGATAAATATTGCTTGTTTACGTTCAAATATATGTATAATTTTTTTAATTCTGTGCATACTATCATTTATTTTATTTTGTCGATTTGCATAGACTTACACCTCAATGATTGTGATTTTTTGTAACACATCTAAAATACTTTTTGGACACTGAAGATTATTTTTATATAATAAAGAGGTTAATGTGTGACAACTTAATTGTGTATATAGAGAAAAATATTTTATAGTGGTAACAAATGGAGTTACTATGCAACGGTTTTAAAGCATAAAATCTATCAAATGTGTAAACGATTATAATTGCCTTATTTGATTTTTTTTTTTAAAGAGTTATAATTAGTCAATTTTTGACACTTTCGTCTCTAATAAATTTTTAAAGACTAAACACGATGCAATAAAATATAAACGTGCATGTTGGAGTATCTTCTTGGCAGTAGAGTGTTCATTCATCGTAAAATTCATTTTTGACTCCGTCCTTGATGGGTTGGGTGGCGTATACGAAATATGTTAATTGGTTCAAAGAACAAAGAGAACGAGCAAGTCTAGTTTTTTAGGCCGTAGACTTGGGGTTTCATATATCCAAAGTCAGAATGTGGGTATTCCTTAGATGCTTCATGTGCCTTGCCGGCGATACTTTGGCCAAGTATTTTCTCCCTTGAGATATAGATATATATATATATATATATATATATATATATATATATATATATATATATATATATATATATATATGTATATGTATATATATATATATGTATATGTATATTTCTCATTGTCACTTTAAACAAGAATCATTAATTAAATTGAATTTGAAAATTTGGGAATGATTTTGATGAAGCTTTATAGTTGAGAAAATACCCATAGTGCATATTTTGGGAAAGACGGATGTTTTTATTTATAGACAAAGTGAAAATGTCGAGCATATGTTGCACTTTTTTTTTTTTTTTTCGGTTCAGAGTGTTGAGTTTGCACTCGAACTCAACAGTTGGTTATCGTGACTTGAGTTGGATTAAATGATAATTGAGTACTCAGTTCTCTAATAGATTGACCTGCAATATTATCCACAATTTCTCCCAATTCGACCAAGTCGGCATAAGTAGGGCTCCGGTCATAACATAATCGACAAATCCAAGATGTACTCCTACAAGTAAAGGATGTTCGAATAGGTATTAGTTGTGAATCTACGAATTTACTAATTATGAGTTGGATGTTTTAACAATCAACTATGAATAGTTAACGGAGATCCTTACATGGTGAATAATAACCAAATTCTAATTATAATAAAATCTTTAAAATGAACCAATACAATTTAAGAGGAATCAATAAAAAGGCATCCATTCAAATTCATGTTGCTAAACTATTAAAGATTAAACTCGATCGCATTAGATGCACTTTGAAAGTAATGCCATCCATCCTTTTGAGTTCTGACCAGTGTTTTGGTAAATGATGACCATTAGGCCAAGTCAATGCCTCCATTGTCTGACCATCTCAACCTTGATTCATTCAACTTTGATGACAAAGGGAATTGAAAATAATAGCATGTGACATTGATGGCTACGTTGGCGTGATTCATGCCGGAGCAATGTCACGTCACTGCTGAATGGAATATATATAAGCTCCAACAAACATTGTCAATTTTTTAACTCTATTTTTCTAATGCAATAATATTTATATTTAGGGCTTCAATCCTTTGCGTAATGTTATACTATATTGTACTATACCATACATTCCATGATTCTACAGTTGCAACTCATATTATAGTTGGAAGAGCCTAAGAAGACTAACAGGTCTAAGTTCAAGCACCTCCTCTAAAAATGTTTAACCTTTGAAAAAATAAATGAGAATTTATTAGGAGCAATGTTACGTGAACTTAAAAAGTAAACTTGATAATCTCAACTATTGATTTCACTGTGGGTCCCAGCATTTATTAGGACTCACTACTTATTCAATGATTGAGATTATCAAGTCTAATTTTTAAGTTCATCTAGCATTACTCATTTATTAATTAACTTGAAATTCTTGTTGCAACCGACATGAAATTTCAATTCATTTTCTTTATGAACATACAATGAAATATATATAAATTTTGAATAGACTGCACCAACTATTATACTCCAATCGTAAGATAAGAATTTAAGGAGACCAACAACTATGAAAATAATGAATTTTCTCACCTAGCTACATGCAAGATATAAAATCCGTGTGGTTAAAATTAGGCGTTCTAATCCTCAAAATTTGACCCCTCCTATATATTGAAAACCTATGGAAAAGCAATGAACAACTTTTGGTCAATTTCACGCTACTTTGACAATTTTATGGAGCAATAGTTTTATTTTTTTTGGGTTAGGGAGCAATTGGTTTGAAGTGTTTGCTTTTTCATTATTTG